TGAGCTCCAGTTCGAGAGAGCATCGTGTGTTAGCAGCTCTGAGGTCAAACACGACTCGGCATAGACGCATGTATTCTGAATTTATCCTGTAGGCGAGGAGTGTTAATAATTCACGGCGAAGTTTTGCTATCCTAATACCTGCATAACCATCATTTCAACGGAGATAGCCAACTGGCGTCAGAACTTCATGGTTCGTATAATTCAGGCGCCGTGAAAATGGAGTTAGTCTACATTCAAGAGCAAACATGCTTGAGACCCTGTTTGTTTCGCTTACTGTCTCTACATTATGACTTTATAGAACGGCGTAAACTTCCTCTCCCCATTTGTTTAAAATCCAAATATCACTTCGAAGGAATCATCCTATTTTGGCGTCAAAATGAGAATTACTAACTTCAGAGACTGCAACATTATTTCCCTCAAAATTGTTGGCAACGCTGTAATACCGAGATTGAATTTCGAGGGGCCGTGTATAAAAGAATGGGCTTTATGGTTTCGTGATGATATTGTACAAACAACTTGGTTCGTTTCCGGGATAGATGACAACAATTCTTGTGTTCAAATATTCTTAGTCTTCGTATTTCGATGTTATTACTTCAGCAAATTCAGTACAGTCTCAGACTCCAAAACAACAGATTAGAATTTACTAGCTTAAATAAAAAAAACTGGGTAGCTATGATTATTAGACAGAACATTACAAACGACCTTGACTCTTTATGGAATTTTATTATTATTTAGTGTTCTGTCTGACGACAGGTCCATATGAACAGGATCCTTCCATCCTTTTCTCAAACTGGGACCTGTTCATATACGTTCTTGGCAGATGATCCAGAAGTGGTTTGCCATTGCCTTCTTCTGTGTGTGAATGGAGTAATTGTTGGGATGCCACGGAGAAAAACTCCGTGTTGCCTAGACCACGGCCTTGCCATATTACCTCAAAACAATGTCTGGATAAGTAATCTTGTCAGTAAACGACAGCATCAGTGGAGTAAAAGACAATGAGCAGGATCCTTCCATCCTTTTCTCGGTCTGGGACCTGTTCATATACGTTCTTGGCAGCTGATCCAGAAGTGGTTTGCCCTTGCCTTCTTCTGTGTGTGAATGGAGTAATTGTTGGGATGCCACGGAGGAAAACTCCGTTTTGCCTAGACCACGGCCTTGCCCAACACAAGTTATAAATTCGGGCACCGCCGGGAATCGAACCCGAGACCCCAGGATTACAAGGCCAGCGTTCTAACCGCTAGACTACCGTGGGATTTATATTTATTAAAAGCAATTGGAACAGTGTGTGCATTGTTGAGGTCCGTTTCTTGACCCACTTCGGCTCCTGCTTTATAGGCAACCCACCATACCGTCTCACGCAACGACAGTCATCGACACACGACTGAAGTTCCAGTAATCGATAGACAGTCGAGTATAATTCGCTCTCTCTCTCTAGTACGCTACATGCAGTCATATAACTGGCACTGATCTACATACGTCAAATGATCACACATATTTTAATACTAATAGACATTAATCGCTGTAAAACCTCACTTAGACGCTTCTAGGTGAGTTTTGGGGTTCTTATGGCGACGAAAATGAAGATGGCTGTCTTCAGTGATGACCCTAATGATGGGAGCAGTGAATGCCTCCCAAACACAGGTTAATATCTACCAAAATTCATGGTACTATATCCCAGAAGACAGCCATCTTCAGAAAGCATGAAGTTTAACTTCATTAATTGTCTCCATCATAGACATTACAAAGCTGTATTTATGGAAAATCTCCTCAAGTATATACATCCAGTACTTAAATGTACGAAACGTAACTCCCAAGCACATGGCGTCCTGACATAAGCCAATTCTAGTACACAGATGAGTCGTTGTGTACACAATGTATAGTCATTTCTATAACTTGTCCGTGTAACAAATTTCACTATTCTGTCGACAAACAGTTCATAAATTATCCAATCAGAATCTAAACATAGTATGTATTTTGTACTATCGCAACATAAATTTTTATTTTATACAAAAATAGCCTAATTAAAATATGGTTAATTTTTAAAAATATGTCGCCACACAAAATTTCGTAGTTTTTCTGAATCTCGAGACAAATGCCGGGAATGTACCGTCTCTGCATTTGAAGTGACCATTCTCCAGATATTTCCCCACAAATATTCTGCTTGAATTCCTTCTCTCCCCAACATAGCCACATTTACAATTCGCCCCAGCATTGTATATTTCACTTTCCTCACTTTTAAAAAGTTTGCAATTAATTATAAATTAAACAGTGAAGTAATAAGTTCTGTTTGTTTCAAAAAAGCATTTCCTCGAGAGAAGTATTGGATATAAGAAATAAGTTTTAGAAACTCGTTCGAAAATAAAGGGGGGATGGTGAGGAGAGGTGCATGCAGCATTGATCGGGCACCCCGACGCCCTGTTGCCGTCTGTTTCCATGTGCAATGCGTGACACGTTTCCGTATGAGCCATTATCCGGACCCGGCGGTCAGCTTCATTAAGCGTACGTCACACTTGCATTCCATTACACCGATGAAGAATGTTCAACTTCCGCAAAGTCCCTGCAGCTTAGCGGTTGCCTTCTATATAGAAGTACGCTTATAGAGATCAAAGTTTAGGTTGGTGTCCAAGATGGGATAATTCTGTGGGGCAATGCCCGTATCTGGATCTGGGCTAATATGTACTGCACAGTGAACCAAGACGTGAGGGAGTTTACAGGATAATGGAGATACTAGTCCTATGGAAACTTTCAAGTAGCTAATTATTCAAATAATCAACTCCGTGTGGACGAAGGAAATACATACTTTTCTTTGCTGTTACTTCATAACTAACTAACTAGATGGCTTACGGAACCTGAAGGTTCATCACCGAACTAATCAAAGCCTTCCATTGGTCCCTGTCCTGGGCCAGCAAAATCCAATCGCCTTCAACTCCTAACTCCCATGAATCACACCTGATATTATCCTCCCATCTCCGTCTAGGTCACCCCAGCGGTTTCCTGCCTTCAGGCTTCCTGACCAACACCCGGTGCACACCTCTTTCCCCGCCCATCTAATTCTTCTCGACTTAATCACCCTGACAATATTAGGGGAGGAGTTACTTCATATGTCTCGCAAAAGCAAATAACCTTAAGCTAACCGCAGAAGCTCAATTGGTAGAGTGTTTGCCTGATATGTGGGCGTTCAAAAGCAAAAATTAACCAAACCGCCTTGGTGACAAGGTGATAAACGTGCTGGTAACTACCGCTGTGCAGTTTCTGCGACAAGAAACATCTGTAATCAATACACGTGAGAATATAACAAATAAGGACAAAATACCAACATGTGACTTGGGTTAATAATACACTTATACGGTTGGTTCGTGCAAAGTATAAGGCAAATCGGAGTTTGCGCATTCATTGCACGACACAATTTTTAGTTATCGTACCCTACCGTTAAACACCCCGACTCCCCTATATGTCTTGTGTAACGCATTTAATAAGATTACTATAAATACCGTACATATTCCCCTTCACTATAATGGCTTCTGCGTTTCTGGAAACTTCCGAAGCTCTTGAAAGTCTACGTTCTCCTCTCATGCGGGCAATGCTGCCGTATGCAGCCCGTGATGTCGGGTGTACTACATACAGCATATATGGCGACATTTTGTGTCACGGTCACGCTATTAAAAGGATCACACAGGTCAAACCCTGTGGGACCTACAAATAAGCAAACTTGAGAACAGCGAGTGTGTATCATTCAGTGCATCAAATTAAAACAAGTGACTGTCGGATAGTGCTGGTATATTTTTTGAAGTGTGCTGTGTATGCTCATATACATCCAACACCGTACAATTTTGTAAAAGGATGTACTGAAATTTTCGTCGCGAATTTATTTCGAAAATTGTGTGTAATTGACTAACTAACACTCCGTAAGGATGGTTTGCCCGTAATTGACATCAATTTTCGTCGTTACACGTAAGGATTAATTAGTACCTCATCAAATTCTACTCACTCCTTACTCTAGCGTATCGGCTGCAATTACGTCTCAGGGTGCACCCGTGTGAGAACTGCCAAAGCCCTCTCAGTGAATCATCTTGGCTTGACGATGCTCGTTCAGGTAAGCTCTACTGCTACCCTTTACAAATTCCTGCGTAACAGAACGGTGCTGAGTTCAAACAAGAATCTATCAAAAATATCTTAAAATTAAATCGATATATATATCTTAAGTGCGTCATGTTTGTGTTGAATCAAATACATATATTTATTTTTCACAGTCTATACACAAACTTATTTAAAATAATGTTGTTAAAATATTATAACATTTACAGTATAAAGTATATTATGTTATATTTATGGCGCTCCTTTATCGTAGTACGACATTACATTATTCGGCGCTTTTATTTTTGAACGACATGTTTCGATGTTTTATGACATCATCTTCAGGTTTATCAATTTATATTATTTTAAAAACTATTATACATTTTGATGCATTGCATTTATACTGTAAATGTTATAATATTTTAACAACATTATTTTAAATAAGTTTGTGTATAGACTGTGAAAAATAAATATATGTATTTAAATCGATATATTTCAATGATATCAATATTACTAATGTTTATTTTCATGGATTTGAGGCAGTTATATTTGATTCAGAACATAATTCCGTTTCCCCGTTATTAAAATAACTCTTTGCCACTATATTAATAAAATCATAGAAATAAGTGCAGTCGTGTGTTATGAGATACTGTACAGGTCTGCTTCTGTTTTATTTGCATTCGTACAAAAATGATAGACGGTCATAAACCATTTCGGCATCTCCTCAAGAAATGATCACGGAGAAATAGTCTTACATAACAGCTAAATAAGCTTCTGTCAGTACAAGATCAGGAATAATAAAACGTGAATATAAACTCCAGCGTGGTACTTTAATACAATTGCTTGTCTCTCTTCAAATCCAGGCAAGTTACGAACAGCACCGAAGCTGCATTAACATTTCATGAAGCATCCTATTATCATTTGTGATCAGCGCAGACACTTTAAGTCATCATCTGACGTCATTGATGCTCGAGTCAGAGCGCGCTTGCCAACAAGTATTAAAGTAACGACACGTGTAATAATACCGTCACAAGTAATTACGTTTCGTCATTCTAACATCTCAGATTGTGATCTTATAAACTGGCAGAATAAACGTGTTGCTCCAGCACCTGAAGTTGATGAATTTAGTAAAGTAACTTATACAGAGTTATCACACACATTTGCCTCAGTCAACTCTGGTTTCATAAACAAATTAAGGATTATACAAAACGTTTCAAAGTAAGCGTCACACAAACACACCACCACTGAAATTTTATGTACGCGTATAAAAAAAAGACACGAAAACACAAAACATAAAACACGATGGGCCAAATTGGGAAAATTTTACATTTAAAATGACAGGCGGATAGGCGTATTACTTCACATACGCTACGCTGTCTCCCCATCTATTCGATTTCTGTTCAACACATTTTTGGTGGTGGGGGGAGGGGTTTACATAAAGGACAATGTACCCAAAAATTGACGTGGACACATAAAATAAGAATAATGGAAGCTGTAGCCACTGTTAGGACCTACAGACGATGGGGCGCACTGACAGCAACTGAGATACAGGTTGGCCAAGCTTCAAATGGGACTCAAACAGAAATACTACACCCAAAATAAAGAAACACAGAAGTGTTATTTGTAAGTCAGTGTTTGTTTTGTTATTCTACCCCC